AAGTATTACTGACTTTTAACAGACTAATTAATGTTTATGTATTAAAAATAAAATAATGGGAAATAATGATGACACTAATTGAAAAACAGGTAATGTTTTAACCTTTAGTTTTGCTATTGTTTAAAAGCAGTATGGAGAAAAGCAGCTAAGTTCGCTAATGCACAGCCTGAATGCTGAGTTTACATCTGCACTGCAATACTCGCCCCCTGGGGACGGAAAATCAGAACGCACTTCGTTTAAAAACTCGCTTTGTATTTAAAAAATGTTTTTTATCAAAATTACTAAAACGTTGATACCTGTGATAAAGTTGCATGAATTTATATCGTTATTTAATATGTTTAAATTGGTTTAGTATTTCACTAAAACGAACTATTTCGTGAAAGTTTCACAAAAGCATCTTAGAGGATGGTTACAATTTTAAGCCTCCCGTAGCGAAGTGCTGTTCGGTTTTGCTCCGCCAAAACTCATATACTGACGTAGTGCCCGTCAAATGGGAGAAAAACCCACACTTTTACAGTTTCAATGTGAGATCACAACAAATCCTATTTTTTCAACATAATGCCTTTTGAACGGAAGTTCTAAAAATGTCTATTTTAATATTTACTTGTTACATGACATGTACATATTTGTAATATATGATTGAATAAATTTTATTTGTTGTGAAATGAAATGTCATAATTTAAGGGGTTTTATGCTTTAACAGTTGCTTTTCAAAATGTGTTAATTTGGTCCACAAAATAATTATCTTATAAAATAACATTTAAAACATTACAATTTATACTACTATATAACTTATACTCTTATCTCATTTGTTAAGATTTCATCATAAAATGTGTTCCTACGCCAAACTATTTTTGGCTACAAAGCGAGTGTTTAAACGAAGTGCGTTCTGATTTTTCGTCACCAGGTGGCGAGTATCTTAAATGAGCAGGGGAAGGGAAATTTAAATGCACGTGTGGCCCTCTGCTGGCAAAAGGGAGCAATTACACCCATCAACGTTCTGGACGGAAGTTGATTTATATATGCAGTTGAACGTTTGAGCCACCGTAGGGCGAATCGTGCATACAACCTAATGGCCGGACCTTGTTGTTGGCGGAGCTCAACCAAACAACCGACCGCATCACCAGACAAGATTTCTTCAAAAAAATGTGTCCCTCCGCCAAACTTTCCTTGTGGAACATGAAGAAAATAGATATTTTCGATAGAACAAAAGCGAATTTGAATAATAAAACAACGATATAAATTCATGAAACTTTTTCACATGTATCAACGTTTTAGTAACTTTAATAAAAAACTGTTTTTAACTACAAAGCGAGTGTTTAAACGAAGTGCGTTCTGATTTTTCGTCACCAGGTGGCGAGTACCTTAAATGAGCAGGGGAAGGGAAATTTAAATCTTTGATTTAAAGGAAAAAATATACGATATACGTCATGTCGACGCTTATTCAGATAAAACACTGCAATGTAGTTATGTATTCAAAGTTATAACTTTAATTATGTAGTTTGTATGTGTGTTTAAACGATATTATAATTGTATATATAGTAAATCTACGTTTGTGTCTATGCACAAGCTAATTGCTAGACCACTGCGATATATAGTTATTAATAGTACTCTATTTTTATATTTAGCAGACGCTATGTTCATCATATTTTTGTATTTATCCTTTTTTTTACTTAGTAACATTCCCATCGTTTCTATAAATAGTAAAATACAGTTAAAGTTAGTTAGTAAAACGTTGATACATGTGAAAAAGTTGCATGAATTTATATCGTTGTTTTATTATTTAAATTCGCTTTTCTTCATGTTCCACAAGGACAGTTTAGCGTAGGAACACATTTTATGATGAAATCTTAACAAATGAGATAAGAGTATAAGTTATATAGTAGTATAAATTGTAATGTTTTAAATGTTATTTTATAAGATAATTATTTTGTGGACCAAATTAACACATTTTGAAAAGCAACTGTTAAAGCATAAAACCCCTTAAATTATGACATTTCATTTCACAACAAATAAAATTTATTCAATCATATATTACAAATATGTACATGTCATGTAACAAGTAAATATTAAAATAGACATTTTTAGAACTTCCGTTCAAAAGGCATTATGTTGAAAAAATAGGATTTGTTGTGATCTCACATTGAAACTGTAAAAGTGTGGGTTTTTCTCCTCCTTGGAAGCTACTACAGACTTTAATGTGCACAAGACACAATGGACAGCAACATAAGGAGCCAGATCGCTAAGGGGACGCAACAAAAAAGCAGAATAAAACACAAATGAAGCCAGAACACTTCAGTATAGTCTCACTATAAAGTCCACGAAAAACAGCTCTTCAGGAAAATAAGTACAAAGAAAGCAACACATGCACAGCATTTTAATTGCAAAGTGAAAAACCACCAGCTGTAGGTTAGAGCTCCAGGTGAAGGGAAGGAAGGAAGAAAAGAGTAAGAATAAAAAAATAAACACAAGAAAAGCAACACATACGTCAAAAGTTTTTGGGCCAACAACACTGAGAACATCACAGATGTGAAGACGAGCGATAAAAACAAGTGAAAGAGAGAGAGAGAGAGAGAGAGAGAGAGAAAATAAACTTTGGTCCATTAAAACATTAGACGAGAACAAGATTACAATCAAAATATCTATTATTTTTTGTTTTTACAAGGTTTCAAACAATAATTACAGAGCTATTTACAAATGCACATTTCTGTATGTATAAAATAAGTTAAAAAATTAAGAGCACAATCTGTACAACATATAAACACTCACAAATTGAAATCTTTCAGATGCTTGATGAGGAGCAGGAGCTTTTCCTCCATGACTCTGCTGCAGCTCCCGGCGCAGCGTTTGGTCTCTGCGCCCTGAGCTTCGTTGCTGATCAAGGCCCCACTTTATTTCCCCCTTCCGGTACACCCATGGATCCCGGTCTCATCATGGACATCCTGGTCTAGACTCTGGAGCTATGAAGTAAATTCTCATTTTTAAGTGCTGTATTGAACTGCCAACACATTCTAAGTGCTTCACATTTTTCTTTCCCAGTCCTTGAATGTGCCAGCTGCTGCACGTGTGCCGTGGTTTGGCTGCCCCTTTTATTCAGCCCGTCTGCCTGTGGTTCACATGGGAGCCAGATTACAGTCGTCGTTGACCTCCACCAGGGGGATGTAGAACTCGGGGATCTCGAAGATGCTGGTGGACTTGTAGGTCGCCGGGTCCAGCTCCTGCAGCTTGAGCTGCCACTCCAGACGCTGCACAGCATTCAGAGCTGCGGCCTCGTGCTGTTGCCTCATCAGAAGACAAGTCTGTGGAGGAGAAACAGAATCAGTGTCGTCTCTGGAATTAAAAAAAAAGAAAATCCCACCAACTCACCTTCAGTTTATCAAACTTGTCGTCCACGTCTTGCAGCCAGGACATAAACTGCCTGGCGTTGAACCGGTCTCTCACTGATGTTTTCCCATCATCCCCCTGTGAACGAGATTGTAGAAATATTACAAAATGAAATCTCCATCATGGCTGTGCCTGAGCAGAATAGTGGACACGTGTCCCATACCTGGATGTCCTGGGGCATGTTGTACACTTCAGCATCCAGTAGAACTGTGCAAGCACTGAAGGGCAGAGTCTGATTGGCTAGTGTTCTGGCTGCTCGGTAATGAACCCGCAGGACTTCCTGTTCATTGGAGACGATCAGTTTTTCCTGCAACAACAAAAACAAGCTTAATTAGTGTTGGGGAAAAAAACATGTTAGAAATAAAAGGTTGGCCTTGAAGGTGAGGGAACTCACCCTTTCAATGCTGTGCTGCAGTCGGAGCTTCATGCGAACGACCTCCTGTTGTTTGAACATCTCTTTGAGCTGCTCAGGTAATGATGGAGGTGGGGTTATCTAGACAACAACGGAGGTGGAGACGTCAGGTCAAAGCAGGTCACACACACACACACACACAGACATGCATGGCTGAGGCAGGAATTCACTTTGTTTACTCTGGTGTGAGTCAGCAGCCGCCTCAAACATGTCAGCTCCCTGAAGGACTTAGCCATAACAAAGACTGCTCTCACATCTCACAGACACACACACACACACACACGCACACAAACAAACACACACACGGCTGGAGGAGACGTGTCTTCACAGATGTGGTTTTGTGTTTGTCATTGTTTTCTAAAACAACACGTATATTAAATATTTGTTCAGACCATAGACAACTGTTGGATACCCTCACCCAGGGGTCTTCACTTCGAACACTAGAAAAGGAGCATTTTTTAAAATTATGACCAAATTAAATAAAATACAGATACATTTCTGACATTAATACCATAATAAATGAACTCTGCATCTTTCCCAGAGTATTTCACATTGCACACCTCCCCTCGCCAACCCATTCTCACCTAATGAAGTATTGCAGAATTGTGAGAGAGTACTGGACAAATCAAAACTAGTGAAGTAGTAAAAAGTACTCAGACTCACCATGGGTATACACAGTTTACTAAGTGGGTTCCCATCTAGGAGGTAGGATCCGTTGAAGGTCACATATTCATCGTAATACTGAGGCGGTTGGGGAGTGACGCTGCACAACACCTTGCGCTTCTCCTCGATCTTCTTCCGGATGTGTAGGAACTCGTAGTAAGGGTTTGCCCTCTCCGTCTGGTAGGGCTCGATCTCGTCCAGTTTCACCGAGTCCACGATTGCAGCCAGTGACTGCTGGCCTCTCTCTTTCTCTTGATGACCTGAGCAGCACATCTGGGAGTTCAAAACCCGGGCCATCTTCCTCTTGCGTGGATGAGGAACGTGGACATCGGCTTCATCGTCTGCGGAAAGAACCTTGATTCTGGCTCCTGAAGAGTCGGACTCACGGTCTCCAGACTGTGGAGAGGAGCTCCCTGAGGTGTTGCTGCTGCTGCTGCTGTCACTCTGGGTTCCCAGCAGGCCAGTACTTTGACCCGGCTCTTCCCCAACAGTGGGCGGCTCCGGCTGGTCATCGGCAGGTGTCACATCCATCGGCTCTGAGGAGCACTCTGTTTTTGATTCAGGTACGCCTTCTGTAGCCGCACTGACCTCTGCTGGCAGACCATCAACTGCAGTAGGAACAGCAGTTGTACTGTTATGCTCAGGGCTCCGGGAGACATCGGTTCTCTCTTCGGCTACGTCAACAGGGCTAGAAAAGTCTTTTTTCTCCAGCTGAACCTCCAGGTTTGGACTGGCGGTGTCGCTGGATGGTTTGGGTGTTTTAGAGTTGAGTTTTTTGTCTTCTTGAGGACATTTAGACTCATTTGTAGTTTTGACCAAACCGAGCAAATACTCCCCTGAAGTAGAGCTGGGAATGTAAGCGATGGGAGACAGTGCCGGAATTTCTGTCCCTTCTGTTTTGAAGCTTTCAGCAACAATTGTACTGTTTTCCGGCTCTGAGGGCTCTGGGTTCTCCAGGACTTTGTTGTTCGGTTTAAAGTCCTGTGTGTTTTCAGCTTCAGTTTGTTGCTGGTTTTCCACAGTGGACGTTGTAAGTGGCTCTTTCTGCTGAATGGATTTTGTGTCTGTGAACACTGAAGGTGCGGCAGCTGCTGGTGGCTGATGGTGGTCACTGCCACTACAATCAGTCTGCACAGATTCTGTCACAGCCTGGACGTCCTTGACACCGGGAGGTTCAGTGCAGGGCAGAGTTTTCTGCTCTGATGATCCAGTCTGAGAGCCACCACAGGCTGAGAGGACCGGCTGTGGAACGAGGTTCTGATTCAGAGAGTCTTTGTCTGTTATTGTTGCTGCGGGGCAGCCAGAACCGAGCCCTTCTTTCTCTGTAAAAGAACTGGTCGTCGGACTGATGCTCTCTTTACTTTCTGCTGAGGTCTCACTTGTTTTTAACTCTTCGCTGACCAAGCTGGACTTGGGCAGAGTTTCAACAGGTTTAGTGGAGAAGTTGGCCTCGTCATCCAGAATTGCCCTGAGGTATGGAGATTCATGTCGGCCTGACAGCAGTGACCGGTTGCTTTGTGGCACATCTGGAAGACTGTTGCAATCTTTATCCTGAACAGACGGAGACCTGGTGGCGTGAATAACGAGGGAAGACTGGAGGAATGCAGGCTGGGAGTCAAGTGCTTCCAGATTCATGTCGGAGTCAAATTCAGCGTGTCTCGGAGTGAGTGTAGCGGCCTGACAGGAATCTTCTGAGCTGGCGACTGAGACCAAGGACACTGATCTGGACATGAGGCCGCAGCGTTCAGTCTCTGGTCGGGGGGACCTGGTCACACAGATGTCCACAGCTGAAGTGACCTTTGCACTGATGGAAGACAGACCCCTCCCGTCCAGAGAAACCGTTCTGTCCTTTGGAGGTTTATCAGTTTTATGGACGTCAGTGGTTTCAGAGCTTTTGGAGCGCATCAGCTCTTTACTCAAACACGGTTCAGACTTTGTTCTGTCTTTGGGCTTGGTCTTCCCCGCGTCTGCCAACGGTCTCTGTTTGAGCCTCTCTCGCTCTTTTTGCTTGATTTTCTCAAGATGTTTTCGATGCCACTGCTCAATTTCCTGGTCCTTTAGGCTCAGCATGCGCTCAAAGCTGGTCTGCATCAGGTCGTCATTCACCAGCCTCTTTTCTTTGGGCTTTCCGTCTCGTGTTGCTGGCGATGCTTTTGACTTGGCTTTGTCTGCATCCATCTCGGCTTTAACTTTGATCCTGGCCTGCTGTGAGCGTTCTTTGTGGCGCTCTTTGTCCTTGTCTCTGTGTCTCTCTGAGTCTTTTTCACTTCGGTCTCTTCTGTCACGATCCTTCTCTGGAGTTCTCACCACCTCCTCTTTAGATTTTGTGGATAGCGACTTGTTTTCAGACAGATAGCTCTTCTTCTCTTCTAAAAGTGATTTCAGATTGGAGCTTGAGGAAAAGCCCCCGTCTTTTACTTTATCCTTTTTCTTCCGGTCGTAGTCCTTCTCTTTGGAGCGATCGTGTTTATAATCCGCTGACTTCTCCTGAGGTTTTAGTTTTTTATCAGCATTTGTGCGTTCCTTTTCTCTGTGATCACCGACACTGTAGTCCCTGTCCGGCCTCTCCCTGTCAGACCTTTTGTCAAACTTTTCTTTATTTTTTCTGCCCTCATCGTGCTTCTTTGTGGCCGATAATAACTTGAGCTTTTCATTTTCTTTCAGGTTTTTATCACCGGACACGTGCGAAGAAACAGACCCCGTTCTGTCTTTATCCTTCCATCGTTCCACAGAATTCTGTGGCTCGGATTTTTCAGCATGTTCAATTTTAATCTTTTTTTCTTTCTCAGGATGCCTTCTCTCCATTTTTTCAGAATCCTTCTCCTTTCCTGGGAGCCTCTTGTCAGACTTTTCACGTGAGCCTTTTTCAGAGGGCTCCAGCTGTTCTTGATCAGCTGTGTTTCCACATATGGGTTTTTCGTCTGTCTCCTCTTTCATGCTGTTGCTCTGCAGTGACTCCTCTGGAATCTGCCCTGAGCTGTGGCAGTCCACCCTCTCGTCACGCTCGCCCGCTTTTGAATCCTTCACCTTCTCCTCTCTATTAGTGGCCTCTTTTCGCTCCTTTTTCACAGCTTTTTCTTTCTCTCGCTCCTCTTTCGGCCTCTTTTCTTTACTGTGTCTCTCCTTTACATTTCTCTCGTCCTTGGCCGGTGAGCTGTCAGAGGGTTTCTGAACAGAGCAGGTGTCGTCGCCTTCCTTTTTCACCGGGAGCGACTCTTCTGTCTCATCACTTTTAAAGAAATTCTCCTTCCAAAACTCTCGGTCAAACTCCAAATTCCTGTGGCCCTCCTTCCGAACCTCCTTCTGCCTGTGGCGGCTGCGCTCCGCCTCATACTCTCTCCTATGTTTGTCCTTCTCCTTGTGTTTGAGTTTATGCTTCTTCACCACCTTGCCTTCCAGGTCGATCTTCCTCAAGGCGACGTCAGTGCTGTCCGTACTGTTTCCTACGCTGGCGTCTTTGTAAGAGCTTGACAGACCATCGTCCTCCTCCACAGTTTGCTCCTTCAGTTGGTGTTTACTTTTTTCCTTGTGTTTACACCCTTTAGTGCTGGAGCCTTCCGTACAATAGTCTGCGTCTGTGTAGTGGTTGTACTTGACTGTGTCCATTTGACACGGGCTTTCACTAATGGAAACGCACATCTTTGCATTTTCCAGTTTGAGTGGCGTCTGTTTATCAGTCAGGCCGTGGTTCAGTTTGGGAGACTTGATGGAGGACAAGTGAAAGAGGTGGACAGAGGAGTCGTCCTTAGGACTGAAGGACATCTTGAAGCAGTCGTCCTCATGAACTTTTTCTGAACTCTCCGACACAGTTGCCAGAGACAGGACCAGTGTTTTGCTGTTCTCCTTTCCGTCTTCTTGGTTTTCCTTGTTTCTATTCTGAGTTTTGCTTTTCCTCTTAACCTTTCCCTTTTCTTTTTGTTCAACATTGTCTTTCTTGGACCTCGCATCCACCTTGAGGATATCCGAGCTCTGAGAACAGTTGGGAGAGTTCCTTTTCTCCGAGATGCATTCCATTTCATCGCTGGAGGTATCCGAACTGCAGTGGACTCGAGGAGTCTTTTGCTTTTTTAACTTGGAGCAGGAATCTCCCTTTCCACTCTGTTTCCCAGCCACGTGATTTCTACCTGTGTCCTCCTTCTCCCGCTGACGTAGGTCCCGCCTGAGGATGTGTCTGTCATTCAGGGCTTTACTAAGATCCTCTTCCTCGTCATCATCTTTGAACTCGTACTCATCCAGGCCTGGCACAGAGGAAGACGCCTTCATGATGGGTTTACCATCCGAGTCCTTCTCGGTATCCGAGTCTTCCATGTTGTCGTCCACGCTGGATGGATTAACTGACGGTGGGTCATCAGACTCTGTAGGGGAAGAATATCAAATTATCAAATGAATTCTTTTATTTTTTTTACATAATTTATTTTTCTTGAATGGATGTATTAATAGTAGCTAACTGACGTGTCCATTTTTAAAAAAGAATTCTAATGTGTAAATAAAAATATCAGCCCAAACTGCTGTGTGTTAACAAACCTGAAGAGCTGTCATCATGGTCCGACAACAGAATCTCCCCCTTCAACAGTTGCTCCAGCTCCTGGGAGTCGGCCACGTCCACTGGTCGCTCTCCACGCTTGTTTGCTTGGAATGCATTTCCGCCGTGACGTAGTAGCAGTTTGACAATCTACGGAAACACAAATTATGAAGACAGGAAACAGTTGGTGGCCCGTGGCTGAATCTGGCCTGCGACTTTTTTCCAAAATAAACACCAAATAATAAGGTTGGACAAAAAATAGATTTTTCTTCTATTTTAAATGCTGGCCCTCTGACAAATACAGTTGGTGACTCCTGGTCTAGTTCTTACATCTTTATGTCCACTGCTGGAAGCATCATGGAGCGGCGTGTCATCATCCAGACCCTGTGTGTTGACCTCAGCCCCAGCTGCTATTAAGACCTTGGCCACATCATAATAACCAAGATTACAGGCTTCATGGAGGGGAGTCCAACCTGATGAAAGCAGAAATCAGTATCAGGACATCGTCACCACATAATGCTCTGAGTTATTTGTTTTATTTCCGACGCCTATTGATGAAATATTAATTAGAAATAAATCACTAACTGATATAATCACTTCCCCTCACACTGTACCTGCGAAATCCTTGACATTCACATCGGCCCCCAGGCTAATGAGCTCTTTAACTTGCTTTGCATCTCCCCGGATGGCTGCCATGTGCAGGGGCGTCTCCCCCCTCTCGTTCCTCTTATTGATCTTGTCCTTCTGCCGAGAAGATGTGCTACTGGAGACTTTCTTCTGCACTGGGGTTGTTTGAGAGGGGTGACTGGGTGTAGAGTCTAGACATGGGCAGACAGAGATGCATTTAATTAGAGTTGAAAACAAGAAATTTCATCAGGTAAAAAAAAAAAAAAAGCCACCTAACAATTTTATTTTGTAGAAAATAAAACCAAAAAAAAGAAAAAGAAGAATTAGACAGAGGAAATTATTATTCAAACTAAAATGTAAAAAAAAACACATCATAAATAACATTCTTGTAGGTAAGGTTCCAACATTAAATATAAAGTGGTCGAGTCATCAGGTCTGCTAGTTAAAAAACTGTGATACAGGACTCATCGACTCAACGGTAAATAAACACTGAGTCATGCTGAGGAAGAGGTTAAAGCGGACAAGCACACAGACCTGGACTGTTGGCAGTCATCTGCATTAAGAGAGCCATCTGTTTGCGCTCTGACAGAGGATATCCAAACAAAAGATTGGGAGCCTGCGACTTTTTGCTCCCGGCCTCCTTTTTCACCTTTTTCTTGTCTGGTCCATCTTTATCTGCAACAAAACAAAAGAGCAATTTAAAAAAAAAAGACTGAAATACAGTTTAACCACCTTTTAATCAACAAAGTGATGTTAGTTGTCCTCTTCCCCTTGTATCTGTTCACCAGGCAGAGAAACAGATGACAAGCATAAAATACCAAAGGGGGCAAATTAACTGCATTCTCTTATATGCCTCCACCGTTGACACGATTTTAACCACAAACAACCGAGAGATTGTAACAGGTGCAGAACCACAATCAAAGACACACACATACACTCGCGCACACACACACACGTGCATTTGTATATGCGTTTACAGCCGCGTAGTAGTGTAGAGTTGATGACGTGTCTCTGTGTAAGGACGACAGGGGGCTGATGACCGGGCTGCAACCATTACCTGCGTACATGCTGCAGGGAGGCACTAATCTCTCTCCCCAGGTCTCACTGGACTGGCCTGGGTCTGAGTCATCTACAGTGCAAAGCAGAGAGGGTGGGAGAGGGGGAGAGGAGGGAGTGGAAGGGTGGGAAAGCACTGCATTAATGCTCACTCTCCCTCACCCTCCACAACATGTAGTCAGCTGCAGACAGGAAAACAGGCAGACTCTCACTCCACGCACAAATTAGGAGTCATGGCAAAATAGGAGACAAATCCCATTTGGAGGTGGCCACTAGACTATTGACCTGGCTCTGGTCTACGTGGACCTTAAAAGGCAGTGAGGAGAGATGGTTCCAGACGGAGAACCAAACGTCTCCCTCCACACCGGTTTATCTTCACTACACATTAATTACACTAGGGGGTGTTAAATGGAGGGGTTTTGTGTGTTTGAGCAATTCAGGACCACACAATGAAAATTATGATGTTGGTACCGTTTTCTGCCTGAGTTGGAGAAAAACCATCTAAGTGTAGTGAGTTAGATGAATTACCGTACTTCATTTACTGTAAATATGGTCGGAACCACCTACTTCTAGGCCTTTAATTTGATGCAAACAGTTGATACAGATACCCCATCTACCTACCTGATGGAAACAGACTTGTTTATTTACCCGTGTCAGAAGGGTAGAATTAACTCCCAATGTTTCCAGTGAGATTCTAAGCCCCCGGGGGCAGGTGTTTTATCTTGCAGAGCAGTTAACGTTGCAACGGCAAGAAGAATATCATGTTTCAGGCATCTGTTCTCAGGACTACGAGAGAAAAAAAAAACTTTCCTTTTTTCTCAGCACACATGTACCTTAGAGTGACAGCACTCTTTCACATGCTGCAAAGCTTTGACTAAAACCATTGTCTTTTACAAATAACCAGTGTGACAAAAAAAGTGTGACAATTTTCAATGCAGGGAAGAACAGATCTGACTCTGATGTTTTAACCATTACATTATGGTGTCTCCATGTCACCAGGTAATGATTATTAGCTCTTTTTCCTTTGAATATTATTACTGACTGCACAGACCACACAATAACCAGCACAGCCACTTCTCCAAAATGGTCTAAAACTTTGATCTCCTTAAGTCCAGTTCCTGTAGAGATGTAACATAAAACACGACACCAGAGGGCAGTGTGTGGACATGGCACCAAGCCAACAGCATGGTTCAGAAGGAGGAGCAGGAGGAGGAAACAGGAAGGAGCAGTTAACAACTCTCACCAGTGTCTGAGTCCCTCTCCTCCGTCTGGGCCGGGCTGCTTGTGAAGGAGAGCTTGCGCTTCATGGAAGACTTTGCTTTTCCTTCCTTTCCAAGTAATTCACTCCGGTCCAGCTTTGGAGTTTTGGTGAAAGGAGACAGCTTTTCCTTGCTCTGTTAGAGACGGGAGGGATGATAATGAATCAGATGTGAAACAGTGGTGTGCAGATGTAAACATAAACAACAACAGTAGGTGAAGAGCAGCATATAGAAGACTGATCAGAGTGGAACGTGGGCAGAATTTTATTAATGTAAACATAAAAAAGAAGACAAATAAAATATTAAAACAAACTGATTAAATTAGAGTAGGAAATTCCTCCTAGATCCCTTTTGGCAGGGACAGTACGGTCTATGGTGCATAGGAGTAAAATGACATCTAGGATAGTTTGGCTGCTGGTGGTTTGAACTTATAATCTGCCTTTAAATTTCTGATGGTTGGATTCAATCAAGAAAATAAAATAAATAATAACAAAACAGAGGACATTTCGTAGAAGAAAAGTCATAAGAATGATTGTTCTATAGCTAAGTGCAGTACAGTTGGACGTGAAACAGTCTTTCATGTCCAACTGTAACACTCTCATCTGCAGACAAAGCCCGTTGGTGCCATCTAATTTAGTCGGAGCAGGAAAATACATTTCTGGCAAGAAAAAAAACTGGGGAAAAAAAACTGCAGCGTGGTACGTCTTTGATCTCTGTGGAGCAAAGTGCCAACTGTGCACAACTGTAAGTCTGGTGGTGCTCACTGAATCTTGGGAAATAATAGCAGATGTGAAATGACTTTTGTGTTTAATGGGGAGTCATATAATTATTAGTACTATTGATCTGAAGGATGTGTATGTTTGAGGACTGGTGACTGGAGATCATTGACACGGCACCTTCCATTCATTATGAAACAGAATAAAGAAAGTAAAACCTCTTCAGTTGTCTCATACCTTCTTCCCCGCCTGCTTGTCCACCATGGCTCCATCTCTGTCACTCCCAGGTTTGGCCATGGTGCAACACCTGACTAGCTGTGACAGCTACAACACAGTCGGGTCATTATGTACCTGGAGACGGAGACAACACAATAGTGGTAAGAATTATTTCAGTTCCGACACATCCCAGCGTCAGCTGACGACAGACGTAGAGATTCAGACCTGTGGCAAACACAAGGTGTTTACACAAGACACTGGAAAGACGTCTTTAAACACAAAGAATATTTGAATGTCAGTGGTGCAGACTGTTTACAGGGAGGATTGTCAGCAACCAGAGTGAAATAACTACCAACTCACCAACACCAGATAGAGCAGATCATTGTTCTGAGACTTCAAGACCTCAAAACTAAAAACAATGCCGGAAACAGCCAGACAAGAGAGCATGAATCACAGCTTTGGGGACTCTCAAGCTTCTAAAGGTAAAACCTTCCAGTTCGAGGTCGACATTCTGGACTACTCATTAGTGTAACCAAGCTCCGCTCTGATGTGGTTTGTGTTAGTGAGGTCACACATATAGAAGCAGCGTCAATGGAGAGCATTAGGCAGAGGTGACATAACAGCCAGGTAGGCAGGTGTAATGAAATCGTCACGGTTTAGGTCACATGACTGACAGTTGTAATATAATTTCAAGGGTATTCATAAAACCTCCCACGTCCCACATAGACACAGTGAAGGATATTATTTGATTCAACCTCTGAGATGCCAATACGTTGCTCTGTAGAAATCCCCCGCCTGCTTTACATTACGTTGCGAAGCACGGGGGTCAGTTATGATAATCCAACAAACGGGGAAAACACCGTTACTCAAAATGAATCTTACTCCAAGAAAGTGCAACTTCAACACCTGCTCAATGCAATGTGGCTGCAGCAAACACTTCACAATAATTAAAATAATTAAAGCAGTCGGTCTAGATCTACAGGTGAGCCGCTACCGAATAAGGTTCCAAAAATACCAGGAGTCAGTATGTGACCTGCTGAAATGTCTTGATTTCCGAGATTAAATGATTTCCGTGTCTTAATGGAATAAATTAATTAATGTTCTTATCAGCTAACCATCAAAAGTGTTAAAAACCAACTTTTTTTGATTCTTTTGTTTTATACAACATGAGCAGGATTTCTTCATCACACTGCAATCTATTTCTAATTCTTTGATTAAAAACTGACAATGTGTAGCCACAATAATCATCATTATAATCAACGCTAGCACCGACACAACAACTCATGCTGAGCGCATGTTTTATGAGAGTATTTTATACTTAGTCTAGAGCAGGGGTCTCAAACTCAAATGAGTTGAGGATCATTGTTGTCAACTTCAGTGATCAGAGATTTATATTTAATAAACTCCATATTACTACACTTTAAACAGCTACTACAGATCTTCTTAAAATACTCAAATAAAGAAAAAAAATCTTCAGAAAATGACCTTAAGGACAACATTTAATTAGTCACAAGACACATGTGAGGGGGTTAGTGTGGGCCCACAGGCCAGGAGTTTACGGCCCCTGGTTTTAAGGGCTTAGCATGCTATCAAAACTGCCACACAAAACTAGAATACAAAAAAAAAAAAAAAAAGAACACAAAGAATTAAATTAATAAAAATTTCAAAGAGCATGTTACTTACAGTACACATTTGTTATTTGTGTGCACAACAGTGTTTTGTCTAACTGTTAAACAGGCTGTGAATGAAAAAAGGAGCTGCGTAGTAGCACACAGCATGGCTCTGTGGCACTCTAAATCACCGTAGTAGCAGTTTCATCATCACGGCAGCCCGAGGCAGGAGGCGGATTTCCTCTGTGACAGTTAAGACGTTCTCATTAGAACACACTTGAAAACCTCCAGAACAGCACATCACAAGTTACAGTCAAACCCCCCACACTCCACCCCCATTTTTTTTGAAAACATATCGCACGTGGCCGAGTGCAGCAGATGAATAGAATGGACAGCAGTTGGTGCCGTTTTTATTATGTGATACGGACCATTGTTATAATCACATGTAACAACTGTAATAACATTAGGTTATTATCCAACACATCACATGACTAAAAAAATATCCAGTCCATAACAAAGATGTTCTGGGACACACAGCAGACACATTTGATTCTTGGTTAATTCTTACGCTTTTTTTGGACACACTGGTCCCTTAAAAAGCATTTGTATTCTGCTTTCTGATACACTATCAGAACACGATTGCTTTTGGAGACTGTGCTACAAAAATAAAAGTGATGTTCTGTGATGTTATTGGCTAGAACCCTTCAGACCCTGTTTGTTGGACAGCTTCACAACCTTTCACGAGCCAGTCTAACAGCCCACTGCTGGTGAAGTTCTTTTCCAACACACAGCATCACTGCTCAGCTGACAACAGTGTCCATCATTAGTCAGCACTAAGCCAGTATGCAGCAACGCTGGCATTGAACCAGCTGAACGAAAGAAAAGAGTGGGCCACATTAAACGCAACAGTGAATTGGAGACATTAGAGAAATATTTACTTTATTGGACTGCACCAGAAAACAGAGGCCGACAGGACTTCATTCTGGGCCAGATATGAGGAAGGAGGGTGTGACTATAATTACAGAGGTATTTGGGCAAACGCCAGTGCAGAGTTCACGTTCACTGTTTCATGATCAACTTGGTGCAGTGCATGCCTCGGTGGAGTTACCGTGCTGCTTCAAGCGGCTTAAATCTTTGCTTTTATGATTACTGATGCTCCATTAAACATTAGTTAAAAAAGAAAACCCAGAGCAGCTTTGTATGGTTTGTACAAAGCCAACAGAGAGAGCAATAGTTGAGGACTTCACAAAGCCAACAGAGAGAGCAATAGTTGCCTAACCTACATAGAACCAACACATCTTCATAATCCAAGCAAGAAAAAACTGAAGAGACAATAAAATTCCTTGATTCCTTTAACGTTCACGTCAGCAATGTGGCTAAGAAATGCAATGGAAAAATTAAGACATATGACTAGAGAATAAATGAAAAAAAAACTAGCATATAATACCAGTAATATCACCCTTATGGAGATTTTAAAAAAAAAAGTTCACAAATACAGTATTTTTTAATTACAAACAAAACAGAAATTGTGTTTATTTTTTATTATTTTTTTAAAAACTTGACACATTTCATCTAGTCATGTTTTTATGGTTTCATAAGATTACATTTGTTTGTAATACATATCATTAATGGTGTGGTCCTAGATTTTCAGGCTGAGGCATTAAAACCTCAGGTTAAGTTTTTTTGGCTGGACTGCTGGGTCCTCTGAGAAACAGATGTCACTGGATTTATTTATAACCAACCGTTCCTGCACGTAAAACTCTTTAGGTTCTAAACTAAAAGCATTAATGACCATTTAACTGTAGTACCGTAGTACTGTAGTACTGCACCATGTGACTACTGACAGAAGAGAAAACGCAATATTGCACACTTTTGCATGTGCACTGCTGTTTTGACAGGCTTGCAGAGTGAAAGGTGGGGTCTGGTGTAGAGAGGAGTGTTGGAGGAGGGTAAGGTGGATGTGGTGGTAATAGTAGTGGCGTAGCTGGGCTGGATGAAGCACACACAGTACAGTAACCTGATCCAGTAACAGCAGGATTCGACAGGGAGGGAAGAGACCTAAGAATAGCAGAGTATGCCACCATCACTGCCATAACCACCACCAGGAGCAGCAGCAGCAGCAGCAGCAGCAGCAGCAGCAACAGAGCCGCTCCACCATAACCGAGTCAGTGGAAGGTT